AAAATGTAAAGACCGCAAAAAGACCGGTTAACGTGAACCGGTTTTAACCGGTTTGGACCGGTCTTTTGTAGCCCCTTAAATACCCTTTAAAACGCACCCAAGAACGTACGATTTGGTAAAAAAACGAGAGAGATATGAATTAAAATGTAAATTACTTTGGGGAATAATAGATGTACCAGACTTATTTTATAGAAGCACCAATTCCTAACGGAATTTAACGTTCTTGGGCTCGTTTTGAAGCTATTAAAAATGTTAATAAATTTACCGATTAATAATTTTAAAATATTGGCCTAAAGACCGGTCATAAACCAGTTAAAACCGATGCAGACCGAAACTGGTCTATAGACCGCAAAAAACCGCGGTCTGCGGTCTTTTTGCGGTCCGGTCTGGTCTTTTGACTTCTGGGGAAAATGCAGACCGGTTACGGTTACGGTTAACACCCCTGGGCATCAAAAAACCGGACCGAACCGGACTTTCAAACACTAATTGAATATGTCGTCAAGCAGGGGAGGGGAGGGACATTGCTTAACACCCAAAACGCGTCTGCTCAGCATGGAACTCACCCAGATACTCACGAGGATCGTAGTGCTCAGGCTCTAAGGGAACCCTGGGATCCTGGATTTCAACGAGTAACAGCACTTTCGGTTCTCGGTTTACGACCTTGTATGGAACCACCGGGTTGTAGCTTCCAACCTCTGATGAAACCTCGGGAAGGCAGCGAGCAACCTCAAAGGGGTTGGAAACCGCCGCCTCTTGATCACGGCTCCCAGCCTCTAATGACCCCTCCAGATCGCGGTCTGCTCCCTACAACACCAGCTCGTTGCCCAGGTATAGTCACCCCCTTTCATCATGTTTCATAACTGATGCTGAAGGTGTGCTTTCAAGCTTATCGCCGTCGCCCATTTGGAAATTCGGACGACGAGCTTGATCAATACGATGACGATGACGATGATTATGATGACTACGACTACATCGATGACAGCGAGACCGACAGCTCAGATTATATCTGGGAACCGCGTTCTTCAGTCAGAGCTTTCACGTTGTCTTTTCGATCTCGCTTGTTCTGACAACGGTTACAGAAGCAACGGAAGTCTCCACTCAAAAAGACCCTTCTGACTTGCCTTCCGGGTCCCTCTGCACCTCAGCCAAAGCTACCTATTGTTCATTGTAATGGGCAGTCAACATCGGGGAACCCCAATCCTGCGGTTACATCTGGTCAGATTTCTCAAGCGAGAGGTCGGCGTCCTTATCAACGCTACGTCCTGGGGCCATTCCCATTCCCATCGGCCTGGGTGGTGGAGGTGCAACAGAGTCCGAATCTGCTGCAGGCCTTGGAATCCTCCCCATCCCAGCCCGAGGATCATGTATCGTACTCATCCACTCGAATCCCTCTTTGATTGCTTGTGCTTCGGGGGAGAGAGGTGCTGTGTTCGTAGGAAGACGAATAGGAGATAATTGCGAAACGTACTCGAAGATGGATTTGTGGTTGGGGCTGTCTTGTGTGGGAGATTGGGCACGCTGGATATGGTGTATAGTGTAAACGAAGCGAGTGTTG